CACACCTATAATCCCAGTATACTGGGAGGCAAGAAGGATCCCAAATTAATGCACAGCCTGGGCAACTTAGGGAGATTTGGCCTCAGTATCAGAGTTTTTAAAAAAAAAAAAAAAATGCTAGGGATGTGGCTCAATGCAAAGTCCTGGGTTCAATTCCCAGTCCTGGAGAGAGAGAAACATTTAATAGTAAGTTTTCTATTCTAGGAGGCTGGGGCAAGGAGGATTGCACATTCCAGCCCTATGTTGACCACTTCATGACTTAAGCAAGATGAGGGAGAAAGTAAATTTTAGACTTTTAATGTGATTTTTATTTCCTAAAATTAAAGGTTTGGCAGCACAGATATATATATGTGTATGTGTGTGTGTGTGTGTGTGTGTGTGTACATACACATATATATATTCATATTCAAAGGCTGTGGTAATGTTCATAGATGTTGTTCAGCAGTACCACAAATGAGTGCTATGCCAGAGGAGTATTTTTGTTCTTTCTTTTTTTTTTTAAGAAAAAGGCCGTTGTACAGCAATTAACCACTAGGAAGAATGTATGCAATGTGTTAATTATTGAAACTGTCCTACCAATTTGATTTGAAACTGTCTCATTGCTATTTCTCAATAAAATTATAGGGTGGGGGGAGAGAAAAAGGCCAAAAGGATGATGTTGTTAGCAGTTACAGAACCAGCCTGTGAGGCTCTGAGCATGTTAGCCATACCCTATTTTTTTTTTCTTAAGTGCTAAAAATTCTGCCCCAGGGATCTGTCCAAGAATTTGACAAGCATCTAAGGTATGATGAGGGCTGGGGAGGTAGCCCAGCAGTCTAAATGTGTGTTTGGTAAGCGCAAGGATCCAGGTTTAATTTCAGGTACCACATGCCATGCTACTTCATGTTGTGCCAGGACTGAAACTGGGTGTGGTGGCGCAAGCCTGTAATGACAGCACAGGGGAGGCTGAGACGAGGATCACTGTGAGTCTGAGCTGTGTAGCAAGACCCTGTACCAAATAAATTTTTAAAATTTGAGATATGAAATACTGGAGTAGCAAAGTGGGAAAAATTTATACTGAATGCTTTGGCTTCCCCCTCCCCCCCCAAGAACCAAGGATTGAACTCAGGCCCTTGCGCTTGCCAGGGAAGCACTTATTCCACTGAGCCATCTCCCCAGTCCCAAAAATTGGTACTGAACAGAAAGGCAACTTTTTTTAAAAATTTATTTATTTTATTTGTGTGTGTGTGTGTGGCCAGCTCAGCCCGCCTGGGGGTGGGGCTGGCTGGCATGTGGTGCAGGGGATTGAACCTCGGTCCTTGTGCTTTGCTAAGCTTGTTCTAAGTAGGTGCTTTAGACCACTGAGCCATCTCACCAGCCCCAGAAAGGCAACTGTTTTGTTTTCATCTTTAAAAATGGATAGACTGACCAACATTATTATAATTCTTAATCTTTTGACATTAAAACTTGAAAGAAGTTTTTAAAGTTTTGTGATAATCTTCTGACAAAAATGAAAATTTGTGGAATTGATGCTGTGAAATTGAAATAATTGCTGAGGTTAATAAGGCTTTAATGTAGAATTGTCCATTCTGTTTTGGTCATAGGTTTATCATTTCTGTCAAGCAAGCTTTTAATCAGTTTGCAAATATTCTGAAAATATTATACCCAATTTTTTTTTTTTTCAGAGATCAGTTTTGCTGTGTAGGAAATATAGTCACTAAAGGAAGGGTGTGTGTGCCTGTGTCTGTCTGTCTGTCTGTCTGTCTGTCTGTCTGTCTGTCTGTCTTTGTGTATCTCTGTGTATGTGTGTTTGAAGCCAGAAGGGAAATGTTAAAAAAAAATTGTGCTTCCTCTTTCCCTAGTTTTTCAGTATGCTTGCTCACAGACGATATTGTTCTGGTTAAATCTGATTAAGCAAGAAAAGTGGTCAGATAAATTGAGAGATATTGTTAATTTTGCTAGTCTTCTAATTTTGATCTTTGGCATATGTATTATGTGAGTTTAGATAGGTCTGTGCAACTGTTTTGGCCTGGAATGCTTTGCTTTAATTATAGCTTGGTTTCTTAGCATGAGTTAGTGAAAGCTTATTTTGAGATCAGTAAGAATCTTTAGGTTGTACAGTAGTGGAAACTTAGGTGGGGGGTGCAGTTCATAGTACGTTTATGTTTGAATTAAGTATATTAAAGTTGTTTACATTTTAGGAACAGGAATGAAACTGAAAGGGGAGGAGGGTAAAGAGTATGGGGAAAATTAGAGAAATTCAATAAATTCTCTTTGTTAGAAACTACACTATTGAGAATTTTAAAAACTATTAAATTGTTAAAAAAAAAAAAAAAAAAAACTAGTGATTTGCACTTTACCTGCTGGTTTTTCCATTTGGTAGATAACATTCTGAACTCCAGCAGAGTTTTATAATCCCCACGTGCTTAAATATACTAAATGTTCTTTTTCCATTAAGGTTAATGTTCGTGAAGAAATTGAAGAGTTTTTTCCAAGAATGTGGAAGATAAATCAAGATAAAAGAAGGCTAATGAAAAGTATTAAAGATCAGAAAATTAAAATTGAATGGGGGAAAAAATTGAACAGAAGATTGGTCAGATAGAAGCACTTGAATATTTTTTTAAGGCTATTTTGAATTGTTTGAATTGGGGAAGAATACACGAAGTATGAAAAATGAAAAAATGAAGAATGAAGAGAAGTAGAAAGCAAGAGTGAAGTAGAATTAAAAGAATCTGGAAGAATGAATGGGTCCTAGGTTAAGTAAATGTATGGTTTATGTTCCAGTGTCTGTATGATCAAGTTGTAGATGAATTTGCATGATTACTTAGTTAATAGAGAATTGGTGATCTGGTTCAAGTAGGGAATTGTTGAGGACAGTTAGCAGTATTAACAATGGGTTATTAATGAGCTGAAATTTTTTCTGGAGGGCATTGCCTAACCATTTGTTTTTCAGGAGCAATCAATATAAATAATTACGGTACTTTAAATGTTAGGTGTTAGGCATCTACGTGACCAGTGCCATTTGTAATACTGTCTTCTTTGTTAGGAGTCTCGCTCTCAGTCAAAATCTCCAACCGGAACCCCTGCTCGTGTAAAATCGGAGAGCAGGTCAGGATCTCGTAGTCCATCAAGGGTTTCCAAACACTCTGAATCCCATTCTCGATCAAGATCCAAATCCCGGTAAGTGTCTTTAAGATAATACTTAAGGGGCTGGGGAGATGGCTCAGTGGAATAAGCACTTCCCTGGCAAGTGCAAGAGCCTGAGTTCAGTCCCTGGTTCCGCAAAAAAAAAAAAAAAAGTAATACTTTAAGACATTTTCAGGTTGCAGAACTTAGTAAAACTTAGTAATAATATATTCTACATAAATGCTTAGACTTCTGTGTACTCTAATAAGGAGAACAGCTGGGGAGATAGCTCAGCAGAATAAGCACTTGCTGGCAAGTTCAGGGTCCTGAGTTCAATCCCCAGTACCGCCAAAAAAAAAAAAAAAAAAGAAAGAAAGAAAGAAAATGGTTGAGTTTACACTAATTGCTATTCTTTCTTGGGGTGGGGACACAGGGCCTTGAGGTTGCTGCATAGTCTAGGCTGGCCTTGTAATCCTACCTCTACCTCCCAAGTGCTGACATTACAGGCATGTGCCATCACACTTTGATTATAGTTTTTTGTTTTTTTTTTTTTTTGGCGGAACTTTGATTATAGTTTGAGAATTTTTTTTTAAGCTTTATATTCTCTCTATCCTTTATAAGAAAAGTATAACTTATGTTGGAGTTGGAATTCTGGTCAGATGAAAATGGAGAGAAGAAAAATCGCCAAATGATGACAACAAAAACTTCAGTGATGTGCTACCTGATTTGTTGTATCAAATAGGGTATACTTGGGTGTGACAGAAAACTTTAAAAACCTGAACAATGCCATGTGTAGCACACACCTGCAAGTATTTTAGGATATAGAAGCAAGAAGATTTGCAGCTCAGCCTAGGTGACATTAAATAGAGTGAGCCTAATGGCCTTTAATTATAATGTGCACTTTTTAGCAAGACCATGTTTCAAAAAATATTTTTTTAAATGAATGGAGAAGTCTGGTGAGATAGCTGGTGGGACTAAGCACCTGATTTGGCAAGCAAAGGGACAAGGGTTTGTTTGATTCCTGGTCCTGCATGCTGCGCTGGCCCCGCCCCTGGGGCGCACTTAGCCAGCAAGCGAGTCCTGGCCTGTTGACGCACAACTGTAATCCCAGCACTGGGGTGGCTGAAAACAGGATCACTGAGTCTGAGCTGTGTAGTGAGCCCCTGTACCTCATACATTTAAAAAAAAATTAATTAATTGAATGGTGGGAGGGAAGGAGGAATAAAGAAAGGAAAGGACTGGGAATGTACCATACTCCCTGGGTTCAATCCCTAGTACCACCAAAAAAAATTAAAGCTCAAAGGGTATATTTCTCTTGAGGGTCACAGTGATAGTGTTTTTCTTTGTTAAGTCCAAGATCGAGTCCATGCTTGATTTATTCACCCTTCTTAACATTTATTTATTTACTTATTTATTTTTTTAACGGAACCGGAGATTGAACTCAGGCCCTTGTGCTTGCCAGGGAAGCACTTATTCTACTGTGCTATCTCCCCATCCCCCCGTTCATTCTTGTTTAAGTAACAGTTGATATTTTCAATGACAGATTAGGCTATAAATTAGTACTACTGAGTAAAATTGGGAATATCGTGTTTGATGGTATTGCATAAACCCACGTTTTCTTTTTCTTTTTCTTTTTTTCCGGAACCGGGAATTGAACTCAGGTCCTTGAGCTTGCCAGCGAAGCGCTTATTCCACTGAGCCATCTCCCCGGCCCTCCACGTTTTCTTCATACATATCTCCACTCATTACCCTCAAATGATTACTTTTAGATAGTAGCCCACTTAGGATTTTCTTTCCCTCTCAGAAACTTAATTTTTCGAAAACTCTCAGAATTGTTAAGCCAGGCGTGGTGATGCATGCCAGTAATCCCAGGTCTTTGGGAATCTGAGGCAGGGGAATTACAAATTCAAAACCAAGTTAGGTCAATGTAACATAATCTAGTCTCAGAATTGAATTCTCAAAAAACAAATAAAAAAAAAGAATTCTATGTCAGCTCGGTGGTAGAATACTTATTTCTCCTGTGCATAGCCCACGGTTCCAATCCCTAATACTTTCAAAACAAAAACTATATAGTGTTAATCTTTTTTTTTTCCTCTCACCTCTTTGAGGCCAGCTTTTGCTATGCAGTTGAAGCTGACCTTGAACTCACTTTGTAGCCCAGGCAGGCCTTGAACTCACAGTGGTCCTTCTACCTCAACCTCACAAGTGTTGGTATTATAGATGTGTCACTATGAAGTTCAGGCCGGCCTGGAACTCACTTTGTAACCCAGGCTAGCCTTGACACAGTGTTAATCTCAACACTTAACTAAATTAATTTCTAAATACCCTAATTCCTTCCTGATTTTGTGCCATCATCTTTTTTTTTTTTTTTTTTTTTTTTTTTTTTTTGTAATACCCCTGTGCATTCCAGACAATTGCTCTGCCCCAACCCTTTTTCATTATTGCTTTGAGTCTTTTTTTTTTTTTTTTGTGGTACCGGGAATTGAACTCAGGACTTTGCACTTGCAAGGCAAGTGCTTATTCTACTGAGCTATCTCACCAGCCCTTATTATTGCTTTGAAATGGCATCTAAGTAGTTCAGGCTGACTTGAACTTGGTTGGAATCCTTTTACCGGTAGCCTCTGAAGTAGCTGAGATTATAGGAATGTACCACCAACACATGATGCACTCCCTTTTTGCCAAAGAATTTTTGCTCTTGCTATTCCTAGAGCCCTTTTTCCTGTCTACCTAGCAAATGCTGTTAAATCACTCAGTTTTATTGCTTGTTGCCTTTTGTTTCATAATTTTCCTTCATTTTATTCTCTTCCCTCTTGTGCTTTTATGCTCTCTTTAAGTTTTGTGGCCCTTAGAATTTATATTTATTAATCAGCTTTGAAACTGTAAAAAATAAAAAATAAAAATAATAACAATTTTTTAAAAATGAACAGAATAAAAACTTGAGAACAAAAAAAAAGAATTTATATTTATTGTCTGCTTCATAGAAATTAGTTTTTTTGTTTTTGGGTTTTTTTTTTTTAGTACAGGTCTCACTACACAGATAGGACTAATAGGGATCCTCCTGTTTTCAGCCTCCCAAGTCCTGGGATTACAGGTGCATGCCACCACACCTAGTCTCAGTTGCTGTCTTAGTGCATTCCAGGTGTGCGCTGGGAATCAAACCCCAGTTGCTGCTGAGCTATCTGACTGGTCCATAAAAGTTAGTTTGTATGACTAACAAACATCACTATTAGTCTCTGAGTTTAAGAATGAATTACATGAATGGTGAAATTATTAAAAAAATTTTATTAGGCATAGAGATTTTTTAAAAGTACCTATTAAATGAATATTTCGGTTGTTGATGAATTAACTTAGCAAATATTAGATTACAGTAAACCAAAGAAAGGTTGGAAAGGAACTAATGATTAGCAGTGGATGTATAGCTAGTATTTCTATACAAGGGAATACAGAGGTAGCATGCCTGTAATCCCAGCACTTAGGAGGATTGCTGTGAGTTTAAGACCAACCAACTTGGTGTCCCAGTTATTCTTCTCATTGCTGGTACAAATATCCGGCACCCAAAATGAAGAGGGGGGGGAATGAAGGAAGGAAAGTCAGTGGAGGTTTCAGTCTGTACTCAGCTGGCTTCAAGGCAGCGTGGCACATTGCGCTCAGAGCAGCTGTTCATGGTAGCAACAAAGAACAAGAATGAATCAGAGGAGTAAAGGCAACAATGGCTACAGGGAGCAAGTCTGACTCCCTTATATGTTGTATTCAGGATATATGCCCTAGGCTGGGTGCAGTATTCACACCCATAATCCCAGTGGATCATGAGTTAATCACAAACTCTAGAAATCTAGAGTTTGACGCCATGGCTTACATGAGACTTAGGGGGGACACCTATACACAAACTGTAACACCTAGGCTACAAAGTGAGCTCAAGGCCAGCATGAGAGTCATACCAAGTCTGTGTCTCAAAAAGACAGAGAACAGGAGAATATAGAACTCTTGTGAAGAATGTTGCAAAAAATCAAAAAAAAATGTTATTATGGAAGTGGTAATATTTTGCTTTTCGTTTTCTTCCTCCCCCCCCCCCCCCATATTTTAGGGAAGAGTCTGTAGGGTGTTCAGGGTCTCACTACTAGATCAGACTCATAGTGATTCTCCTGTTTACAGCCTCCCAAGTGCTGGATTACAGGCATGGGCCACCATGCCCATTCTCCATCTCAGTGCATGCCGGGGCTGGCACCGGCACGGCAGGCCCTGGGATTGAACCCCTAGCCCCTGTGCCTGCTCCGCTGAGCTATTTGGCCAGCCTCCTTGCTTTTCTTTTGTTTCTTCTTTCCTTTTTTTTTTTTTTCAGAACCAGTGATTGAACTCAGGCGCTTGCCAGGGAAGTATTTACTCCACTGAGCCATCTCCCCGACTCCTGCTTTTCTTTTTTAAAGGAAGGAAAAAAAAAAACAAAACATACTTTAGCGTGTTTATAAGGTGGAAGGAGTGAATGTTAAAAGGACAGACTGAGAATAGGAAGAATGGCTGCAGTGAGTTCAGAGAACAAGATACTACTTTTTCCTTAGAAAAGAAAAATGATAGTCTGGGAATATCCTTCTTGGTTGAGTGCTTGTTTGAGCTCCATTATACAAAAAAGGGGGGCCGGGGAGATGGCTCAGTAGACTAAGTGCTTGCCTGGCAGGTGCAAGGGCCTAAGTTCAATCCCCAGTTCCACTAAATAAACAAATAAATAGATCATCTGCTTACCATAAAAAAAAGGATAGAGTAATTATGAATAGACAGCAATATGTGTATACAAGTTTGGAACAAAAAGATTGTTAGGCATTTTTTGCAGCTTTTTTTTTCTATCTGAATTTATTTCTCTCAAAGGTCAAGGTCAAGGAGGCATTCTCATAGACGATACACTCGATCCAGATCCCACTCTCACTCTCATAGAAGACGCTCTCGAAGTAGATCATATACACCAGAATACCGGCGGCGAAGGAGCCGAAGTCACTCGCCGATGTCTAACAGAAGAAGGCATACAGGAAGCAGGGTATGTGATACAGAAATTACTTTTTTTTCTTTCCTGTGTAGTGATAATGTAATATTTTGCTTCTATGAGAGGCTCTTGTTTTTGTGTTTTTTTTCTTCCTGTTTTGCCTTTTGTTTATCGACAGGATCTCACTGTCTCCAAACAAAACTCAGCCTGTATGACTCAGGCTGGCCTTTTAACTCCTATTTATCCTCTTGCCTCAGCCTCCTGAGTGCTGGGATTATGGGCATGTGCTACCGAGCCCACTGATATTTTTTCATTTTTGTTTTTTTGTTTTGAGATGGGGCCTTACTACGTTGACTAGGTGAGCTCAAACTGCTCTCCTACTTCAGCAGGACCAAGGTCCATACGACCAGCCCAATTTAGGCTATTATGAAGTGATGCTACAAAAATTCCTTAATTAGCTGCCTTAGCTCTCAGAATTAAAAAAAAAGTTTATGATACAGATAAGCTAATAAAAGAAACGTCACCATTTGAACAGGCCTACATGTATTTCATAATACTTATTATAAAGGAGCTGTATTTTTTCAGACTTTTTGAAGTTAAAAAGATGAAAGTGGGAGAAATATGTTTCAAGAATTAAAATAAGCATAAACTGAGGTGAGAACAATCTGATATATTTCAGTATCATGGGACAAAGACAAGAAAATAACAAGATCTTGCCAAGTGTGTTGGAATACCCCTATAATCCCAACACTCTGGTAGGCTAAGAAAGGGGAGGATCAGGCCAGCAAGATAGCTCAGCAGTCTAAAGCACCTGCTTAGGCAAACACAAGGACCATGGTTCAATCCCTGGTACCACATGCTGCACCAGCCCCGTCCCCAGGGCAGACAGAGCTGGCCACAAAAAAAAAAAAAAAAACAAAAAACGGGAGGGGGGATCACAGATTTCAGCCCTGCCTTGGCCACTTGGTGAGACCCTCTATAAAAAATAAGAAAGATCTGGGAGTATAGGACCTTGAAACCTCTGGGTTTGATCCCGAGTAACACACACAAAAGAGAGAACACCAAAGTTGAAATGTTAATAATAGCAAACACTTCTGCTCAATATGTAATACTCTTAACATCTCTAAGGCAGGCTGTCATGTTATAGAATGAGAACATGAAGTATGAGATGTGTGATGCTGAAATATATTTAATTTGCTAGCTGACGAAACCCAGGTATTGATAGGCCACCTGATTCTGTACCTTTCTGCTATACCAGTTTGCTTCTCTCACCTATGATTGATACTTAAATGTGTTGTAGTGCATCAGTATTTAATGATAGTTAGAAATCTACATGTTTAATTTTAAAATACGGATCAGGAATACACTGAAAGTATCCCTGCTAAAAAAGGAAAAATAGATGTATCTGAATCAGTGGTCCAGGGTTGGGGAGACAGACAGCTCAGTGGCATAAACTCCTGCCTGGCATATGTAAGGTCACAGGTTTGATCCCTGGTACTGTTTAAAAAAAAAAAAAAAAAAAAGTGGTCCCAAAGAAGTTATATTAAATATTAACTACCAAGGATATGAAGGATGTATTCATAAAATAAATTCTTCAAAATCACTAGCGGATTTTTATCTGCCTTAGTTTTCTTTTTGAGGGGGGTAATACCAGGGATTGAACTCAGGACCTTCTCTGCTTGACAGGCAGGTGCCTGTGCCACTGAGTTATCACCTTGCCCCTTTTTTTGTGGCCAGCTGAGCCCAACCTGGGGGCAGAGCTGCCACAGCCTGTGGTGCAGGTGGTTGAACCACCATCACTGAGCACTTGCCTAAGCAGGTAGACCGCTGAGCTGTCTTACCAGCCCTGTCTTAGTTTTTCTTAGTCTTATTTTCACACTTCACACTTGATCTTGAAAAGTGATAAAAGTCTTATTCCAACTAGGGTGACCTATAATCCCATCAACTCAGAAAGCTCACCCAGGAGAATTGCAAGTTCAAGGCCAGCCTGGGCAACTTAGCAAGACTGTCTCAAAATTTAAGAAAGAAAAGTTGGGTGTAGTGGCACATGCCTAATAATCTCAGCACTCTGGGAGGCTGGCCTGGGAGTTCAAGGCCAGACTGGAAGAAAACAAGGCCTTGTTTCAAAAACAAAGAGGCAGGGGATGTGACTCATTAGGAAAGCCACTCTCATAGCATGTTTGGAACCAAGGGGTTTAGTTCCTAGTACAGCAAAAAATAAAAATAAAACTTACTTCTGAATGACTAGAAAT